CTTATACGTGTTGTCCCTACCAAAGGTCACAGAAGCTAGATTTAATCACCTGATGGCAAGAGCTAACATACAGAACGGCGTCCGAGTGGAATTGGCATATCAAACAATCCTGGCCAATAAACATCAGACATTCGGCATCAAGGAACACTGCTTGCAATTATCTGCTACCATGATCTGCGAAGGGAAATCACTCGACCTGCTGCCAGAATCTAATTGCCTGACTCGTCTTCTCAAGGGAGGACAAACAAGTTGTACTTACGCCACCTGTAACGATTCCACTGTTGAAATCATCAAGGATGATACCATTTTCCTTGACAATTTTATAGGGATTGTAAAATCAGGAGGAGAAGCTCGGCCAAACACTAACATATGTGTAAGCGCCAATCTATTATTATTATTATTATTAAAATCAGGTAACGATTCAAATACACTTAATGGTTCTTATATCCTCCATATGGACAATGAGACCGTAGCAATCAATGGCAAAAACTACTCGAGTACTAGTAGATCAGGAGTACAGGTGCTTCCACCAATCTTGGCCAGCGTCACTAACCGCAGTGTGGTAATGAACCTTAACCTGATACACGGGATGACAGCCCATAATATGAAGCTCCTGGGATACCTCAAGGAGAAAACCAATTGGTTTGCGTTCACCGAAGGTTTGGTGTTAGTCATACTAATGTTATCCCTTTGGCATATTTGGAGGATTACGGCGAAGATACACCTACCTGCATTGAACATTGACAACAAGGCTAATTCAAAAACCGAAGAACGTCCATCTAATCTGCGGGACGCAGATCTTTAAAGGGGGAGGAGTTAACACATCCGCCGTCACCCAACATGTTGCATTCCCACAGTACAGCAATACACGTGCGCCATGCCAGCATAATTGTGGTTCACAACATAATTGACATCCTACACCTTTGTCAAGGCCAAGTGCATTTCATCATATCATGCAATAGCAATATTACACAACGTTATCAGACACCTATGGGAACCGTCGGCCATAGTTAGTACCTCTGGCTAATGCTTACGCAACCACTAGTATAACGGAGCCAATGCATTAGGCATTGCAGCGGTGTCAGCATAATTTCATTTCACACGGTTGTGAAATCAGTGTGTTGCATATTCCAAGTTACCTGTTGGAATTCAAGTCCAAGGCGGCTCACTGACGTCGCCTATGTCTGGCTATAGAACAACGGCAGCGGAACAGGCTATAAAGGGTGGCAGAACTCGGAGCAGCGGCAGTTGCATTGGGGTGTTACTATAGTCAATTAGGCTTATTTATTTATCTCAATAAAGACCTTTTATTATAACGTTTAAATTACCTCTTTTAATTCCAGGGCAAGTTGGCCCTTCAATTTTTTTGTTGTTCAGGACCTTCAGTCCTTAACTTGTATATACATATATGTATAATATAGCTGCTATCCTGAAATTTTTGTTTACCTGGAAATCTTATTTTAAGTATAAAAACCAGCAAAAATAAATATATTTAATGCTGTCAAACGACCTCTTCTTGATTAAGATAAATGGTAGAAAATAATCCATTTTGGTAGGTTTTTGAACCAGCTCTTGGTAGGAAGGAAAGTTTTTCAGTGGTAACCCTGCTTCAAGTACTAAATAAAATAAATATTATTAAAAATTACTAACTTTTCCATTTTATATTTACCTAAGTAACTTAATTTACTTACCTAATTGCTTCTTTAAAATACCTGACATCCGCATTCGCATCCGCATCCGCGGATGTCAGCTGTTAAGACATCTGCATCCGCATTCGCGGATGTCTAAAATTCCACATTCGCAACATCCCTAATATGGAGTATGAAAAATTCGGTTTTAAAGGGAGGTGCCACGCCCCCTTTTAGAATAGGTATAATTTTTCTCCAATAGTATGTGATCGATTTCATATCCGCCAATACCAAGTTCCAGTACTCTTCCATGAACACTTCCAGAGATATGCAGTATGAAAAAATCTGTTTGTATGGGAGGTGCCACGGCCCCTTTTCCAATAGCTGCATTTTTCTCCAAGAGTATGCGATCGATTTCATATACATACGTCAATACTAAGTTCCAATACTCTACCATGAACACTTCCAGAGATATGCAGTATGAAATATTCCGTTTGTATGGGAGGTGCCACACCCTCTTTTACGATAGATCCAATTTTTATCCAAGAGTATGCGATGGATTTCATATATCTCCATACCAAGTTCCAGAACTCTACCATGATTATTTTCGGAGATATGGAGTATGAAAAATTCGGTTTGTATGGGACGTTCCACGCCCCTTTTATATATCGAGATTTTTGTTGGCCTAGAACCATCCTTTGAACGTCTGCAGCAGGTGTCAGAAATTTCAAAAAAATCGGTTCAGCAGTTCTCGAGCTTTCCGATATATTTACATTGAATCTATGTCATAGATGGATAAGAGTTGCTGCTTTTAATATTGCGGTCACTTCGTACGTACAAAAAACATAGCAGCGTTTTTATGCGTAATTATATAAATACATATGTATGTACAAAAATATTCATATACAAATATAAGTGCTAACAGCAATGTTAATTGCTCCTTGTACATACATATCTTCCTTTAAAGTACAAAGCCGCTTATCAACAAAATGCAAAACCGCGTATCATACGTACAAATTAACGGTAGCGGGCGCTCTTATTTGTGATTTGCAGGTGAGCAGCGCTGTTATGTGGGCATGTATGTTAGATTCTATAGAATTTGTTAAGTCCTGCAGTTCCACTTTTTGCCTAAGATAACGGGAAGCCCATCCAGAACCTATAACCTAAATTTCAAAAAGATCGGTACAGCCGCTAACGAGCTTTGCGAACACAAAAAAAAACCGGCTTTCAAAATATATTGTAATGGCAACCATATTGATATGACAGCG